CAAATTTTGAATAAATGCATTTTCTAGTCTGCTTCCTTTCAGTTTTGTAGCGGTGGTGAGATGTTTGACTACATTGTCAAGAAAGAACGCTTACAGGAATCTGAGGCGCGTCATTTTTTTAGGCAGTTGGTCCAAGCGATTGCTTACGTTCATAATATGGGCTTTGCTCATAGAGATCTTAAACCTGTTAGTTTTTGTAACCGTCTTACAAATTTTAATGGCGCCTATTGCTTTCTTTTTGCATCATCGTCATCTGCTTATGTATAAAAGACTTTTAACAAGTTCTTCATGGTTGATTTAGTACCTGGTTGCTGTTAGTTCTTAACTTTTCAAGGAAAATTTGTTACTAACGGAGGATTTGCAATTAAAACTAATAGATTTTGGATTATGTGCTCACCCGAGAATGGGTTTAAACCGACCTCTGGACACTTGTTGTGGGTCTCCAGCTTACGCTGCACCAGAGTTAATCCAGGCGAGTGTCGCGGCTATAACTGGCTAATGGCAACTTGATTCTTTTTTTGCCTACTAAGTTTGTTACGTTTTAAGTTAATTGTTCAGGGCAAAGCTTACTTGGGTCATGAGGCTGATGTGTGGTCGATGGGTGTACTTTTATATGCATTATTATGTGGAACACTGCCTTTTGAGGATGATAACATGCAGGTTCTTTATAGGAAGATTACAGTGAGTTGTTGTTCTTTTTATCAAAGAATTTTTTTTGTTCTAATGGTTCAATACAGTGATTGGAGATATTGCTTTAGCGCGGGATATATAACGAACCTGCTTTTCTTAGTCAAGGTAGCAAAGAGCTTCTTCGCTCAATGCTGCAGGTGAACCCAAAAAATCGTATTACTGTAAAGGAATTAATAGAACATGAGTGGATTAATATGAATTATTCTCACACCTTGAAGTGGCAGTCGATATATGATGTAAGTGTTTGAATTTCCTCCCCTGTCAAAATATTAAGTAAGTAAGTTTTGTTATGCGCTTCAAAATTAACAGTGAGTTTGTATGAGATTTCTTCTAGTGTATTCACATATTTTTCAGCCTAAAATCGTTGATGAGGATGTGACTAGAGAAATCGCATGCCATTTTTGCAGGTCATATAGGGAAATGGAGTCAATGTTAAAAGAGGTTGCTTTTTAAATCCTCGTTTTATTTTTGATATTATTGTAATTCTAGTTAACCTCTCGGAGAAGGGTCTTTAATTAATTTTTGTAATTATTTGAACGTAGTTTATTAATGGTTAGATGCGTGTCACAGTTATGTTGTCTTGTTATTTCTTTCAGTGGCGATTTGATTATATTACTGCTACATATTTCTTGCTTCTAAATTTGAAAAGAAAAGGTATGCAATACGCTTTGCCGGTGAGAAGAGTATCATATGAGACGGTACGTTTGTTTTGGAGTTTATTCCATTCAGCGCTTACGAAGCTCCCCTCTTTATAATTATATGTAGCTTTTGAAAAATATTGATTTTATTGGTTTTATAAATCTATTCTAGGGCTCCGAAAAACAAAACATCCTCACGTCTCCAACAATACACGCGTCTTTGGGTCAAGATCTGGATCGGTCTGGCCTCGAAGAAGGTGTTGTTCTTGACGAAAATGATGGCTGTGCTGAAAGTAGTTCAAGTGAAGGGGAGAATCTGAAACCAGCTGTTGACGATGATATATTTTTGAAACCTCACGCAAGGCTTGGTGTTCACGATAGATTGGTACAAATGCTGGCTATATAATATTTTACACTAAATAATATTTGCAATTAAATGAGAGCCTTTTGTTGTTGTATTTTTTTTACATCTGTGCATATTAATTCAGCTAGAAAACTGGATTATAAATGCGTTTTTTTTTTTTTTGCAGAATGCATCTTACGCACGAGCAATGTTAAACATGCCTGCTATTTACACGGGACGTTCGCCGAAGCGTTTGCAAGACTATAATGTTTATCATCCTGGTGGTGATTCACAGGTCCTTAATTACCCTGCTTTTGCGACGCCAGTCCGAAAACGTGGAAAGCCTATAGTATGGTTCTCTGAAATTATTAAGTAATATGTAAATAGTTTCTGTCTACTTGGTGTAATTGGACAAGATCTATCGAAAACATGTTAAAAATTTAACTGGATGAAACATTCGCTCTTATTGTTTATGAAATCTCTTATTTGCTAGAGATCCGGAAATTTGTTGATTATCTAGTGTTCCTTTTGTATGCACTTTTCAGCTTTATTTAATTCCTGTAACGATTTCATTTTTTGTAATGATAACCGCTTTTTATTTACATGAATGTCTTTTTTAATCCAGATCCCTTTGCAATTTGATATACAAGCGTGTGGCAGGATTGGCGATTTTAACAAAGAAAACTTTAGGCCAGCTACTGTGCGTGTTCGAGGCCCGTTCAAAGTAAGATTGCCAACTTATCTCTACATTATTAAAAGTCTAGTTTTAATAAATAAATAGCACCTCTAGAGACTAAAAGCTTTAGTTCTTTACTGTTATTAGTTATTAAAAGGTATGTGATGAGACTCGGCCTCGCAGTGGTGTATATGTAACTCCAGCCAGAAACCCTTTGCACTCTGTTTTTGTCACTCCAAAACAATCGTAAGTTTTCAAACATTCGTACTGTTTTCGTTCAGTGAAGTATGTTTAATTTTTGTTTTTGCGCTTACGACTTTTTTTGTAGTACTAATGTTTTAACATTCAGTCGTTCCCATTCATCTGAACGAAATACTCCCCCCTCTACGCCTGGATCTTGTGGAGAGCGAGCTCCTCGGTCTGCTACAAAAACTCCGCGCTTAAGGCAACGCGTATTTGCCTCTTTGGAAAGACAAGCTGATAGAATGATTAATTTATTGACACCAAGAAAACTCAAAAACACTTCTCCAGGTGTTCTAAAACACACAAAGGTGGTTCTCTTGAAATTTTTTATTTGTTGTTCTCTCTTCATTACGCATTCTTCTCACGCTAATTTTGAATGTTGCAGACGATGGTGAACGTTTCAATAACATCTTCCAGGAATCCTGATTTAGTCCGATGTGAACTGATTAAAGCATTTGCTGACGAACATCTTTCTATAGAGCAAAGAGGGTACTCTTTTTTGTTATGGTTCTTTTGGTCTCTTACTGTAAAGGCGATCCTTACGTATTTTATTTAGTTGGAAGATAACGGGGAAGAAGCGTGACGACTGTGGACGGTTTATGACTGTGGAGTTAGAAATTGTTTTGATTGAAATGGGTAATCAGGAGAGATTGGTTGGGGTAAAAAGGAAGCGCTTGAGTGGTGATGCATTCATGTATAAGAAAGTTTGTGAACAAATACTTCGTCTTGCTGGACTATAATTATTTAATTGCAGAGCTGTGGTATCTACAAAATTTACTTAATCGTAAAACATGTGAGAAGTAAAACTTCTATTTTATGTAAATTACGTCAAATGAACAGTAATACAAATTTAAATAACTATATAGATTGTACAGGACAAGGTAATTGGTTTAAAGAAAGATTTGAGAGTGAGTATAGGCAACTTTGTAAGTTCAAACTAAAACAAGTTCTTTTTTACCTTTATTTAAAAAGGATTCAATTTAAATATTGGTTATCTCGTCATAATTGAATTTATTTTTATTGAGGTTGATTATGTTTTAGTTTCACTAATAGTTTCTTTAGCATTTTTATTGGTTAGGTCGAACTATTTTATTGTTTGCTTGAAGCTTATTTGATTTACTTGTTGTGGTTTAGTAAGAGGATTTAAGTGGTGTTTTCTTTGCCTTAACTTTGATTCTTGCTTAGGAATACCGCGGGTTCACACTTAGTAGACCGTTAAAGTCTCACAAGTTACTGGCTATTGTTGTACTATATAAATCTTTTTGTTGGCATTTCTAGACTGCGTATATTAAATTTGTATTTTATGTCGCTCAAGTATTAACTCTTCAGATAATCAACTTTTCTTGTTAATGGTAGTGAGCAGTCTTTTTAAGTTGTTGAGCTGTTCTTTTTCTGCCATTCCGTTTGTGTATCCTTAAATTTTACTGCTTGTTAATGTATGCAGTTTTTTAATGGTAAAAAGAATGCTACGGAAATAAGTTGAAGGTGTTTATGTGCCTAGCTTGTTCGGGTCATCTTTGCACTTTGTATTTTTTGGGGTAAGTTAAAATTAAAGTAAAGCGCGTAGTGTTTCGCGGACGGAGCATCTAAGTACATGAAGGAAGTTGCTTGGGAATGAGTCTTCTTTGTTGTGAGAAGCATCAGGCGGAGTACTTCGAAATTAGGACTCAAGCAGTGACAGAATTGTTGAGTGGGGTGCGACAGGATTGTACAGATTTTTAGAACTGATCTCTTCAGTAGGATACCAGTGGCTGCGCGTGTGATTGTTAACACAACCAGTTTGGTGCAACTATGGGCACTAACAAGCCATACGACGGCAGTTCTGCAAACAATTTTGTTGTTAAGGACGTTAGTGGTGCCCTTACACATTTTTCTTATTCAGGAAGTTTCAGTAGCTGAGCAATTTCGGATGATCATGGTGTTTGTAGGCTCCGGCAACGGTACGTTACATCCCAAATTTCATAACACCAGAAGAGGAAGAGTACTTGATTGCTCAGATTGACTCAGCTCCAACTCCAAAATGGCAGGTGCTTCGAGACAGACGTGTTCAGTCGTGGGGTGGCGTTGTGGGGAAGTTTGGTCTTATTCCAGACGGTGTGCTTCCAAAAGTAAGGCAGCGTAGATTGTATCATATTGGGGAAGATTAAAATTGGAAGTTATTTGAAAGTAGGCAATTGTTTGTCCGAATTCTTTTTTAGTGGCTGGAAGATATAGTCAGTAAATTAATGGCAGTACCAGATGTGTTTCCAGACAGCTCTCGTCCTAATCACGTGCTCATTAACGATTATCATCCCGGCAATGGGATTATGGTCAGCTTTCCTGTATTAGCAAGGGCATTTTTTAGTTTTTGATTATCTATTAGTGAGCTGCGGTATTTTTTTGGTGTATTTTTGTCGCCTCGCATTTAGTCATTTCCTCCAATGATTATGCCATTTTTGAAAAGGAGAAGAAATGAATGGTGATATTCAAGAAAGAAAGTTGATTTTCGTAAATAAAATATTATTTGAAGCGTTCTTCTTGTGAAAAAAAAAATCTTTTATGAACATACTGATGGTCCTGCATACTATCCGCTGGTCGCTACAATCTCTTTAGGAAGTGGCCTGATGATTGATTACACACGGGGAATTGATCCAGACGTGATTACTTTTACTGTTTTTTTTTTTTTAAATGAGTATTTTTAATGTTACATGAAAGTGATAAAGACATTTTTTACTATTAATGCGTAATTCAGTGCCATTTTTATTATAGGCTACAGAAGGATTTAACGATCGTTATATCGGTTCATTGTTTCTGGAAGCGCGAAGTCTAGTTTTGCTCTCTGATGTTATGTTTACATCTTATTTACATGGAATAGCAAACAGAACAGTTGATGTTATAACCAAAGAAACGTTCAACAGAGATACTGTAGGAAAGGAAGTCGGTACTGTGATACCCAGAACTCGAAGGTTATTATTTATTTATACTGTACTTACTTTTTTTTCATCATTTATTAGTTCATGTTTGACTGTCAAATCTTACTCCTGTTAATGCTCATGGGAAGTCATTTTTTTCTTTTGAAGTTACCTAGAGTTTGGACAGATACAACTGAATTCTTACAATGAGAAAATTGTAAATTTCTAAAATACTATTTTTTTTCTTTTTTTTTTTTTTT